GATTTATGCCGCTTAGGGTGTCAACTTCAATATTCCGATGTGATAAAGAATTTTAAGTCTTCCATAAATTTATTATAAACAATTTTTGTTTTGAATGTCATGTGAATACAGTGAGTGCGGCATCATTGAACCACCCGAATTTACAGCGTATTTTCAGTTTCAAGAGTGGTAGCCCTAACTACAAAAGTTGTCTGCTCTATTGACCAATAAGAAAAATGCTAGTAGTCATGCGCAATTAAGGTTATAGAAATTATACATTGTAGTAGAACTTTAAAATTTTGCGCCATAATATTTATTTTGAGGTTAGGAAATTTGATCAGCATGGCTCTCAACTTGATAAAATTAAACTGTCACTTCTGCTACAAAACCTGACATCGAAATATATTAATATCCTATATTAACAAATAACAACTATTTAACAACAGTTTTCTATTTTTTTGGGTGGAAAATAAGATTTATTACAATGTGTAAGTGGAATGTGGAAATATTATTTTCGAAGTAAGTTGTAGTGTTTTATTAGATGTGGTTCAATGTAGACACACATCCTTCAAAATAAGAAAAGTGTAGCTGGTTAGAAAAAAATTAAATTTCATTATTTAATCATAATAATTTGTGTTTGTAATGTGTGTATTAACTAAAGGAGTACTTCAGTTTTATTTTCATACAAAAACCTGATCAAAATTTGTAAAATTTAATTAGTTCTTCGACTTTAGAAAATACCCGGTTCAATGTAGCCTACCCTCCCCTATTGTGTTAAATCTAACAAATAAATAATAGGTTTCGTTTGTGATACATTTAACTCAATATTATTTAATCGGTATTTAATAGCTCTGTACCGTCTGGTAGACGAAGACTACTTTCCCTTACGGGACTATCTTGGGCACTGCCCAAAATTAATTAAGACACGTAAAACAATAGGGTAAGTGTGGGTATTCCTGCGAGTGACACAATTATTGCGATATTTAAAGAATTATTATTTTCATTTTGAAATATACGCCTAATTTTTTCAAAATAATTACAAAAATTATTTTGAATCTTACTTGGTAGAATATAGCTCATAAAAATGTACATTCCGACAATTATTAATTAATTTATTTAAATTTGAAATATATTATGACAGAATTCTATGAAATTATCAAATATGGCAGTCATGAATGCATATTAAAAACCGTTGATATATTCAATATTTACTATAGTATACACGTTTCAGTGTTACTAATCAAAGAAGTACACTTCATTATTTGAAAAATATATTAATTTACCCATCTATTATTGATTTTCAATTAATAATACTTAAAACTATATTAGTATCAGAATTTTTACTGCATGTTAGTATTATTGTGATTTTTAAATACGTTTACTGCGCAACGCATACTAAACATAACCTCTATTTTGACAACCAGCGCGTTGTGCGACACGTGATTTTCTGCAATAATGCTCGCACAATAATTGGTGTTTCCTTCATAAATGTCACACAATATTATTCGCGAGTCAACAATAATACATGTGTTGACAATTAGTTTTGAATTTACTTTTTTAACTACAAATAAGTAACGAAATTTGATTGAGTTTAATGATTTGGAAAATATAGTAATTGAACTTTAATTTGTAATTGAAAAAACTGCATTTCATTTTTTCGTAAACTTAGACGAGCTTCGCAAAGTTAACCTACACTAAAAATTCGCAGAAATACCCACACTTACCCTATTACAAAAAAGTAGTTTTAAAAATGTTGTCATAAAATAAAAGTAAACGAAACATTAGCAAAATTATTCATATTTAATATTATTAAATAATTTTAAAAATATTGCCAAAAAGAACTATAGATTTTGTATTAAGAATGAAACGCCTTATATTGGCTTATTAGTTATCAGAAAAATAAATTTGGAAAGGGGAAGCGCCTGCATGGTGGGGGGTCAGTTTTCCTTGCTTTGCGCTCTCCAGCTGCTCGCGTGCCTAAACCTGTATCTACATAAGGAAAAAAAGTGAGAAACGCGCGACGCTAACGCGAAACGCGAGAAAAATACATGACAATTTTTTGCGTTTCGCGTCTGCGTCATGCGTTTCTCATTTTTTTTTTTGGTTTTTTGTGCTGCCTCTACATTGCGGAAAGAAATTGATAAATGCGCGACGTAGATCAGGTTGGCCGCAAGATTGACTTTATCAATTTCCTTGACATTTTACTGACATAACAACGAATTTTCCTGACAAAAATTTTTTTGTTTACCCAATGGGAAATTGCCAATGCTCACCATTGGCTAAATAATGAACCAATATTGGCTGCCAACAGTTTTTTCTTGGTCAAACATTGGCAACCAATATTGGGCTATTATTGCCAGAGCGTTCTGGTACAAAAGGTCCAAATCAAAAGATCCAAACCAAAAGATCCAAAAAATTAAAAATCCAAAAGGGCAAAAACTCCAAACAAAAAAAATATATTTTCTATTGTTTTTATTTCATTTTTTTTAATTTAAAAATTCAAAAAGTTAAAAAGTGCAAAAAAATATATGTTTTATTGTTTTTATTGCTTCCTTATAAAACCCATTTTTTAAAATTGCTTTACGATTTTTTAAAAAAAAGTTATGTATATTTGAAATTTTTTTATTTAGACAAATGTAGGTATAAAGAAGTTCAAAATGGCATTTTATTTCAAATCTACATAACTTTTTTTTCAAAAAACGTAAAGCAATTTTGAAAAATGGGTTTTAAAGCTTAGATATAGTACTATACGATGCAATTTCGCAAATTGAAAAAAAATTTTGATTAACCAAAAAAAATTCCGAAAAGTGGCCAAAATAGCCATTTTTTGGCTATTTAAGTCAATATTACAAGAAATCCTGACGTGATAGGCTATTTTGGAAATCGGATTCTACGTTAAATGATATACATTTGAAAGTTTTAATAAATTACACAAATGATATCTCGTAAATCGAAAAAGATTTTTTTAACTTTTTTAATCTTAAATTAAAGATGAGACTTAAATGATGACATCTATTTAAGTTTCAAATTTTATCTGAATTTTTTAAAAAATATGCAAGAGTTTAAAAAATTGTTACACAAATTTTTATTTTTTAATTGTTTAAAAAAAATGTTTGTTTGCTAGAATCTTTGTGTAATTTACTATACTAAAATCAAATGGTATACTTGTTAATTTTTTTTACTTTTTTTTTACAGAGAAATGGTGATTTAAAGATTGGTATGTTTTTGGGCAGGTGTCAGTAATTTCCGACGGTAGTGCGTCACGAAAGTGTCCCGTTTATAGCTGTTTCGAGGATAGATAGACGCATGCTGATTCCACACTTATCCATTCGCTCCGCTTTTCTGTGGCGCTTAGCGTGAGACAGAAAAAGATATGCTGATTCCACACTTACCCAGCGCTCCGCTTTTCCGTGGCGCTTCGCGTGAGACAGAAAAAGATAGAAATAGTCTCTGTCTTTTTCTATCTAACGCAAAGCGCCACGGAAAAACGGAACGCTGGGTAAGTGTGGAATCAGCAGCAAAGCTAACGCCACGGAGTAATAATAAGGAGACTGTACTACCAGTGAGATTCCGTGCCAAATGTCTGGCTTGATTCGTTGAATTTCCAGGGGGGCCGCAAGATTGACTTTATCAATTTCCCTGACATTTTACTGACATAACAACGAATTTTTCTGACAAAAATTTTTTTGTTTAGAGCAAAAAATGTATTGCATGACCGTCTTAATTCTTTTAATTGCCCTGACAAAAAATTTTCCCTGACTTTACTGACATGTGGCCACCCTGATTTCTTAAAATAACGCGCATGCGCAGTTTGCAACAATCTTCGTCACCCTTGAAAGAACGATGAGAGAGATCATTATTTTGACGTGCGAGTTAGAAAGTGTGGTTATGTTTTATTGTTGACAACATCAACTATACGGGAAAATCAAGATTTAAATAAGAAAAAATATTAATTAACAAACTGCAAAGAGAAGAGTAAGTACAATATATTATAATATTAATAAATTGTAATATAGGTGTGAGTAGATATTAATAAAAAGATTATTTTTGTCAAACCGGAGTATTTCTTTTCTTTGTATAATAAAGTGAATGAATACAATATAATATAATGCTATAATCGCTATAATGCTAATATAATTAATATCTACTCACACATTTCCTATATTACAATTTATTAATATTATGTAATACTATAATATATATTGTCAACAATAAAACATAACCACACTTTCTAACTCACACGTCAAAATAATAATCTCTCTCATCGTTCTTTCAAGAGTGACGAAGATAGTTGCAAACTGAGAATGCACGTTATTTTAAGAAATTCAATTAACCAAACCAGAAATCTGGCACCAGTTTGATTAGGGGATACATTGGAGTACAGTCTCCTTATTATTACTCCGTGGCTAACGCAGACGCGACGCTTCTCAATGCTTATGCTGATTCCACACTTACCCAGCGCTCCGCTTTTCCATGGCGCTTTGCGTGATATAGAAAAAGACAGAGACTATCTCTATCTTTTTCTGTCTCACGCGAAGCGCCACGAAAAAGCGGAGCGACTGGGTAAGTGTGGAATCAGCATCAACCAAATGGGAATGCGTTGCGTTTGCGCCAGCTTTGCGTCTATCTATTCTGGAAACAGCTTATAGCATCTTAGATCGAAGTGTGGATTTCCCATTAGATAATGGGTCAGGCTGAGTGCAAATATAGCGAACCTATATCTTCATCTCTCTCACACTCATGGCCTAGTTACAAAACGCAACGCAAAACGGTGCCATGAGACTGCACCCTTAGTTATTATTTACGTGTGTATGTTAGTATGTTTTTAACTGGAGTGAATCTATTCAAGAAAGTAGTTTTAGTGATAAGGAGTAAGAGAAAGAGTGATTGAAAGAATGTGTGAGAGGTTAAATCTATGAACGAATCAGTGAATAAGTATGTAAGAGAGTGACTGACTGAGAGATTGGGATATTCAAATAAGTTGCAAACGAAATTATTCAGGATTAATTTGTATTACTTACTTTCGTTGAAATGCAACGAATGCTCTCGTTTCCCGAGGAAGAAGACAGCACTTCCTGCAAAGCTCTAGTTATCTTGCACTCCCGATCCATCACAATTTCGAAAATTGATAATCAAAATTAAAACAATACACACAAAAACACTGTAGTCTTGAAATTTACACAGTGTTTTTTGTGGTTTTAAAAAGTAAAATTGTTTCTTAAAAGAAAGTTTATTAAAGAAAGTAATTACTAAAAACACCAGACTTAAAATAATATGCACAAAATCACCGTAGTCTTGCAATATTTACATATTTTTTTTTGTGATTTTAAAAAGTAAAATTGTTTCTTAAAAGAAAGTTTATTAAAGAAAGTAATTACTAAGAACGCCAAAATTAATAAAATATTCACAAAAACACTGTAGTCTTGTAATTTACACTAAGTGTTTTTTGTGATTTTAAAAGGTAAAATTGTTTCTTAACAGAAAGTTTATTAAAGAAAGTAATTACTAAAAACACCAAAATTAATAAAATATGCACAAAAACACTGTAGTCTTGTAATTTATACAAAGTGTTTTTTGTGGTTTTAAAAAGTAAAATTGTTTCTTAAAAGAAAGTAATTACTAAAAACACCAGAATTAAATTAATATGCACAAAAACACTGTAGTCTTGCAATTTACACAAAGTGTTTTTTGTGATTTTAAAAAATAAAATTTTTTTTCAAGAAAATTGATTAACAAAAACACCACAATTTGTTATAATAACGATTGCAAAGTGTTCTTGATTTATTTCGCGCTTATTTATATATTTCTTTAATGAAAATATATTAAAAAATAATCCTGATTCTCAAAACGTGTCACCTCTGTAAGCGTCAGAATCGGAGTGGCCGAAATATGGAGACGCTGCGCCAAAGTGGTCATTTTTCTAGAACAATTTAACATAGCGTTTGCGCAGCTTGGGCCCACGTCAGCATACGTAGTAGACGCGGGGCTCATGCTTATTCCCCAAATTTCAATTTCCTAATGTTCAAACCATCAAAACTCCTATCATCGAAACTTCATTTCGCATAATTTTCAGTTTTCGAAATTTCATTCAATATAATTTTTAATTTATCGATTTATTCTTTATCCTATTATTTAAATAGTCGAATTGTTTTTTAATATATTTTTTAACATTTTGAAAATTTTTTTGACATACAGTTTGTTTTTGCGAATGACTCTTTGTCATAATTATTAATCCTCCGAATTAACATTTGACATAATTTTCAAACCTTTGAAATATTATGTTACATAAATTTCATTTATCGACATTTTATTTGTCATAATTTTCATTTAATCGAATTATCAAGTGTCATAAAGCCCCTTTACTGGAATTCAAATATTCGAAATTTCATATTTAAGAAATTCCATTTACCGAAATTTTATTTGTCTTATAATGTTCATTACTCGAATTTTCAATATGTTTGAAAATTATGTCAAATGGAATTTCGGACAAATAAATTTTATGTTAAATGGTTATTCGAATAAATGAAAATTATGATAAATAAAATTTCTATAAATTAAAATTTCTGAAATATGACATTTCGTAGATTTAAAGGTTATGTCTCATGAGAATTCGAGTAAATGCGTTTTATGTCACTTGATAATTCGAGTAATGAACATTATGACAAATAAAATTTCGATAAATGAAAGTTATGTAATATAATATTTCGAAGGTTTGAAAATTATGTCAAATGGCAATTCGGCGGATTAATAATTATGACAAATAGTCATTCGGAAAAATAAAATGTATGTCAAAAAAATTTTCGACATATTAAAAATTATATTAAAAACAATTCGACTATTTTAATAATAGGGTAAAAAATAAATTGATAAATTTAAAATTATGTTTAATGAAATTTCGAAAACTGAAAATTATACGAAATGATGTTTTGATGATAAGAATTTCGATGTTTTGAACATTAGGAAATTGAAATATGAGGAATAATCAATCATGCGCCCCATGAAATCTACGGGAATTTCTGGTACAATTCTTATAGAAATTGTAATAATTGCTAAAAATTTTATTAAAATAATTTCCTACCACTTTTCAGAACGAATTTTGTACAAAATTCTAGATATTTCTTAGTGAATATCTCAGAAATAATTTTATGTAAAAATGTCGTTATTATTTCGGTAGTAATTCCACATGTAATAAATGCTGAAAATTTTTTTAAAATAATTTTCATAACGCGGTGCAAAAAAAGGGCACTTTTTTGTACCTTGTTATGAAAAATATCGTTCGTAACTAGTGCTAGCAGTTGCCAATTTTTGAATGAGCACTTTTTTTGGAACAAACTGTTTGTTTCAAAAAAAGTGCTCATTCAAAAATTGACAATTGCTCGCACTCGTTACAAAATATACTATTTCCAATGCTTTTCTGCAAGAATTTTGTACCGAATCATTATACGCGTGATTCCTACCCTGTTCAAAAAATTTGATAGAAATGGAAAGAAAAAAATTTCTTTCCATTTCAATCCTGTTTCTGAATCAAAAATTTTCAACAATTACAATCAGTTTCTATCACATAATTTTAACAGAAAGTCTATCCAAATCAATACTTTGTCTATCCGAAAATTGTCCCATGCGTTGTCCCACTGATTTCGAAGAAAGTCCTATCAAATTCTATCAAAATTGATTATTAAAAATTGTTTCCAATCCAATAAGTTTTATTGATTTAAATTTTATCAAATCCTGTATCGAAAAATAACAAAAAGTTCTTTCCCATTGTATCCGATTGAAAACATAGTTTTAAAAAAAAATTTGTGGAAAAAATAATAAAAGATTCTTATGACCATTAGTAACATTATATTCTTAGCACACTCCAAACATACAAACATTCTAAATTAAACTGGAGGAATTAAATTAAAACTTGTACCCTATGGGAATCGAACCCCGCACCTATGACCTATCTATCTAAACGCTTGACGACCGCGGCTATCGAATCGACGTGAGAAATATTTTTCGACCTGTCTATATAAACTGCAACTTTGAAAAACGTAAGTTTATGTAAAATATTATAATTTTTGTAAGTACCTACCTAAAAAAATACAAGCAGAAATTAAAATATTTATAGAGATTTGCAATATATGCTATTATGTTAAAAGTATTATTTAAATATTTAATACATTTTTGCTCAAATGTCATTTGACCGCTTTGTAATTTTTTGCAAATATTTGCAAAAAATAACATTAAGCGAAATAAAAAACAGAAAATTCGTAAAAATTAAAATTCGCAAAATGACTGGGTCAGGCCAGCTCAACTGTGTTAAAAAAATTTCAATGATTTTCTAAAATATTAAAACTTTTATGAAACTCTGTAGTTCACAACAAAACAATAAAACACTTTTAATCGTTTTTTAAAATTTTTGTTATTTTTTGCATTAACAAAATATTACAAACTTTAAAAAAAATTAATAACTCAAAAGTCGTTTACCATAAATTAATAAAATTTACACTGATTACACAAAATTGTTCACTCTTTTAAAAGAAAATATTTGCATGATTGTAAATTTAAAAATTCCCTATTTTTAATAACAATTTTATAAACAATTTGAATTATTTTTGTGTTCTCTACCCCTCCAAATGCAATAAAACTCATAGGAAGTATACTCAGTAGTCTTTTCTTGAAGCTCCTAATAAACAATTTTGGTATTTTCAATTTGGAATGTACCTAACGAATTTTTTATTAAAAACGCGCGTCCACTCCACAATGGGAAAAATTTGATTGTCGTGGAAAATTCAGTCTAGAAGTTACAAATATTATTTGTTTTTAATAAATTTTTTTAAATGAAAGTTTATAAAATTGTGCACCAATCAGATTAAATCTGATATCTTAACTTTAAAAAATATTATTGCTACGCATTTGTTAACTAATATTTTGGAAATTTTTTCCTCTTTTGTTCATATATGTTGTTAAATAAAAAATATTTGTTAACAGTTTTCAAAATTCTACCGCCACAGATCGGTGCGCAATTTTACAAACTTTCATTTAAAAAAAAATTATTAAAAACAAATAATATTTGTGACCTCTATAGACTGAATTTTCCACAACAATCAACTTTTTCCCACTATGGAGTTGGCGCGCGTTTTTAATAAAAAAATTCGTTACGTACATTGGGAGCGTTCACAAATGATGTCACGTTTTTGGGGGGAGGGGGGTCTCCACTAAACGTGACACAATGAATTTTTACATATGAAATTGCATGAAATTGAGAAAATTTTTTAACACAGTTTAGCCGGTCTGACCCTACTATTGGCAAAATTACAAATAGCAACTGTAACAAATTCATAAAAATATCAATTCCAGAAATGCAAATTTGCAAAAATAAAATTTGCAAAACATCAATTAGCAGAAATAATGATTCATAACAGAGCAGTTTTGCAAAAAAGAAAAAATAACAATTAGCAAAAGTATCTAACAATTTGTAAAACTGTCAACTGCGAAGAATGCAAGTTTGCAAAAATAACAAATTTGCAAAATAACAGTTTAGTAAAATAAATATTTGTAAAAATGTAAATTTGCAATAATAATTTTTTGCAAAAATAACTATTGGCGAAAATGACAATTTTATGAATTCCAATTCGCGATTAATCAAACTCTTTAAATTCCAAATAGAATGCATCCCCGAATAAAATTAAACCAAGATGACATTATTCAAGATCCAAACTCAAGCTTGTTGATTTTTAATTTGACATGAAAAGTGAAATTTCATGTGGAAGGAATTTAATAGGTGTTCCATCAAAACTCATAGATAGAAAGTTATAAGACGTTTCAGATAATAGGATTTGGTAGAAAATGTATCCAAATCTTTGATAGAGAAATATAGTATTTTCATGTTGAAAGAATTTGATAGGTATTCAATCAAAACTCATAGATAGAAAATTATAAGATTTTTCGACTCATAGAATTTGATAGAATTTGTATCCAAATCTTGGATAGAGAAATATTAAATTTTCATTTGGAAAGAATTTGATAGGTATTCAATCAAAACTCATGGATAGAAAACTATAAGAATTTTCGTCTCATAAAATTTGATAGAATTTGTATCCAAATCTTGGATAGAGAAATATTAAATTTTCATTTGGAAAGAATTTGATAGGTATTCAATCAAAACTCATGGATAGAAAACTATAAGAATTTTCGACTCATAAAATTTGATAGAATTTGTATCCAAATCTTGGATAGAGAAATATTAAATTTTCATTTGGAAAGAATTTGATAGGTATTCAATCAAAACTCATGGATAGAAAATTATAAGATTTTTCGATTCATAGAATTTGATAGAATTTGTATCCAAACTCTTGATAGTAAAATATTGAATTTTAGTATATTATTAACTTTGATAGATAATACATCAAAACTTATGATAGGAATGGATTTAATTTTCTACTTTGGATAGAAGTGGATTGGATTTTTAATATTTGATTAAATTGGATTCGAATTTCAAGGATTGAAGGAAGAAAATTCTATCAAATCCTATCCATTTTAATAATTTTTTTAAACAGGGTAGAAAAATTCGTTCGGAAAAGTGGTCGAAAATTATTTTTAAAAATTTGTATTTTCAATTTTTTTCTTTTATGGGCCGTACACATAATACGTCACGCGAACAGGGGGGGGGTTCAAGACATTTGTGACGACCTATAGAAAGACAGTGTGTGACATGAGGGGGTCTAAAATTGTCAAAAATCGCGACGTATTATGGTACGGCCCATTAAATTAAAAAAAAATAATTGAATTTGGGAGGAATTACTTGTGAAAATTTGAGAAATATCTAAATTTCATACGGTTTTTCATTGAAATAATTCTTGTGAAAAAATAATAAGAGTAAGTTTTTAAATTTTTGTTTAACATTTTGG